TTATCAATTTATAGTTACAAAAATTTTTCCCTTTGGCATTASTCTTTCCTGCCCAGGAGCCTGACTTCTGTCATCACTCCATAGATAATTTATGCAATTACAGGCTTTTAGTCACTTCTTTGTAAAGCCACAAGCACGTGTGAAGGTAGTAGAGTGGAAACCCAGATAGTGGTGAGTGGATCCARGTTGTCTGCAAGCCACCAGTGTAGCTGTGGGCTGCTGCTCCAACATGAGGTTGTTAGATGAGAACAAAGCGTGTGAGTGTCTTGAGCAAAGAGGAGAGAGGATTATACTTCAAAGAGCCCTGCTCGTGTAGCTCTGCTCTCCTCAGTATTGATCTCAGCCAGAAAGCCTGAACATAACCAAAAAGGCCAGCTGCTAACTTGTATYTTCCTGAAACCTGGGATGTGAGTTGGCAGGGCAGCAGTGGGGAGAGCATGTTCACGCCTGACAGTTTATTGGCTTTTCCARCTCTCTCAGCTTGATTTAAGAGGATATTCTCTCTCCAAATAGAAGTCCCCTTTGATACTCTTAATATYAGATCTCCTCACTGCACCATTACAGAGGCATGGCCATTAGCAAGATCTAAAATGAGAGGAAYAACTCCTGGCCCCCTTGAAAAGCTTGTMGAGAAAGCYTTGCCTTGCCTTGGATKTAGATCTCAATAAACAGCCAYAGCAGAAACTGGAAGGCTCTCTTAWAACCCAAGAGYTTGTTCCTGACCCATGCAGCAAGATCCGGGTAGGCTGATCATTGTGCTAGCTGAATTTATTCAAATTTATTCATAGCGAGATTATTCCAGGGGGGAAGGGTTTGTCACAGACTTATGTTTTTACATAGTTTTTCTCSTTTYCCTCCTTTTCCCTCTGACATTACTGTCTTAATAGGCAGCAGAAATACCCTTTTTCAGCTTTCCATTTTACCAGCCCAGACAAACCAAAATCTCAGATTGTTCTTTTACGTGTTCCCTCTTTCTCTTGCTTCACACAGAGTGGTCTCAACAGAGAGCAACAGTGACATTCACACAGTCTTAGCTATCCTGACAAATGCTTCACCAGATCCCTGAGGAGATCATATTATCCCCCTGATCCCACTGTCTATTTGGGTGTCAGTAACCAGGCATCCTCTGACTGAGGGTGCTCAAGGCTTTCCCTCTTCAGACGTTTTCAGCTGATGAGTTCCCATTTTACAACAGAATGTCTCAAAATCAATGCAATTGATTATTAACACAGTTTTGTACTTATCCCATTCCTGCTATTTGCATCCTGAAGATCATCCAGTTCTTTGTGATTCCTCAGACTCTGCTGAGTTTATTAAAGCTGCTGAATTTTAACCCATTTTCATTTGCCTTGCTTGACTCTAAATCAAGTAAGCTTCCAGTTATATACCACTATAACCAACTCTGTGTGAGGAATCAGTGATATCTATTTGTAAATTCATGCCTATGTTTGTCTGCCTAACCCTGTACCCCCATATTTTATGCATACGCAGAATAAGATGCCATCGAACATGACAAAAGATTATCTAATGAGCAATTCAGTCATAATGCTTATCTAAATTAAACACTGCATAAAATAAATTAGTTTGCTAAAGAAAATGAAGCATATTTCACTAAAAATTGCATTCACTCTACAAATGAAKCACATTTCTCAAGGTTGATGAATAAACTAAAATGTTTGCTCCTGTAAGCACTAGGCTCTGTGTTGGAAGGTACAGACAGATAGCTTCTACATTAGTTTATTTTCATTTGTGGAATGATTTCTCTCTTGACAAAAGGCACTTGTGYCCACAGAATATATGTGTACTTATTTTTTTTTTTTAAGTGTACTTTCTGGTGTTTCTTTCTTTTGTTGTTCTGTTTCCATCAAATATTTCTGAAAAGTAGATGCAGTCCTTGTGAGGGGTAAAGTGAAGTGGCAGATAGCGTGATGCCTTCTGGGTTCTTGTCTGAAACAAACCTGCACAAAAGTGAATTAGGGCTTCTGAAGGGATGCTGAACTCGACGCATCTGAGCAGCAAGCGTATTCCTTGTAAGGAGAGCCAAAACACTATTCTCAGTTATCTTGGCTCAGAGTCACCCCAGAGTGCTCATATCTTGAGAAATTCTTTGCCAATGTTGTGGGGGTTTCATTTGGGTAATTTTCCCTTTGTTTTTTGTAGGGGCCTATGGTTTGAGAGAGGATTTTACTGATGTCCTTTATCTTGTATGGTCAAAAAAAGAAAAAAAAAAGAAATCTGAATAGACATAAAGACTTCTGGTATTCAAATACCAGGGCATGAACTAAAGTGTTAGACTTGCTTTTACTTCTACCTCTGTGTCTTTAGAGACTGTTACTAGCAGGGTTCTGGTGCTTGCAATAGCTTGTACTCCAAAAGCATATTGTGTGAGGTGAGTCCACTTCTGTAAGGACATGTGCCTGATTCCCACTAGAATAATTCATATTTAAATGCTTAGGTATCATGTAGAGCATGGACCTTCATTCATTCACCCTTCGCAAAAATTGGAAGAATAAGAATAATTTTGTTGTTCTGTGGAAGTCAAATCATCCTGTATCATCCCAAAAGGTGTAATTATTTCTCCATAATTTCCATTCTTCCATTTTTCAAGAAATGCTCCAAACCTACAAAGTAGTGGCTACATTTCTTTTTTCTTGGACTCATAATGTCTGTACCTCTAAGCACTGAGTTAGCAGTGTGCAAGAGCATGCAATATATTTCCAGGTAGATTTTTACTTTGATGTTCTTCARTGATCACAATGGGGAATATTGAATTTTGCTGCCTTGCATTAGTTTTTTTCAAAGTAAAAACCAAAAGAAGAGACAGATGTTTTCAAGGCAAAACCAAGTTGAAAGATGGAATACTGCTTTACACTTTAGCAAGAGATGGAAATCTGGTCTAAGAGAATTGAACTTTAAATTACATCAAAAATATCCCACAGAGATTTAAATAGCTTTCTCATTCAGATTTTATTTGAACCTTGAATAGAAAGCGTACATTTTCTATTTTCTTGGATTCATGTTAATTTGGAAAGTACCCTAGTCCTATGCTGTTTGATGTGACTTCTCTGAGGGATGAGTTTCTGATTTTTCATTCTTCTTGGGRATCTACAATCATATAGGACTTTACCATCATACAAGAATTTATGTCCTAGCAGTCATGCATATAAATATTTCTGGTCGCTGTGGGAATGTCAGAAGGATCTCACAGATGCCTCTTGAAGTGTTAAAGCTGTTAAAAACCAGAGCTCCTCCTGGGCTGTCAGGGACAAACCAGCTGGGTGCCCTCTCCTTGTTGTGTTCAGGTTCCCTTTCTGGGCAATCAGATCTCAACACTGACATTTGCTGCTTCTCCTCCTAAGAGTGGGGTCTGTCACAACAACTCTGGCACCGTTGAGCAACTAAACAACAGACCTAGAGTGAGTTGCAGATGTTGAATAAGAAACATACTGGAGACAGATGAAATTCCCTAAATCTCTATCCCCAGAGACAAAGGAGGACCATGCAAGTGTTTTCCAGATGAATGGAAAAACTCAGCTTTACAGCAGAAGATGTGGAGAATATAATAAGGTAGTAAAATGCCATCTCCTGCACAGTAAGAAAGCAGCATAGAAAATAGGATGAATTATTTATTCCTGTATTTAAGCACTTGGAAAGGATGCAGACAAAAGCAGTGTGAGGCCATTTAAACTGAAGGATTYTCATATGAGGAAGGGCATCACAATCACATCCAGATGAAAAATTATAACAACTTGTAAATGGTCACGGTACAAAAATGAACGAAACAAAAAGCTGTTTATTTGAAACTAAATGGATGATGACTTTATTTCAGTCAAGTCCTACATTAACTCATGCATACGCTTAATTTAGAAGGATGGGATAATTCATGTGGTGACCCCTGTGAATATTATGTAAATTTTAGTGGGATTGAGTGGTATTAAATTTGCAAATCAAAGTACTGCTCAGAAATGTTATCTGATTTCCAGATGTTAAGTCTACAARCTCCATTAATTGTTCAAAAGTAGGTGGCCAGTGTACATGTACCAAATGAAAAATTTAAAATCCACAATGTATATCACTATGAAGCTTAAACAAAGCAGTCAAATTTTAGGAAAGTTATTGTATGCCCATGGGAGAAAAGTATTGTCTAGTTCTTATATAGAGTCTATCCAAGCTGGCTGCAGCWATGGTTGCTGCAGATTCATAGTTTTAATTAAGCAGTACCAAAATTTAGACATGGAGTCTAAATAACAGAACTTCATGATAATAAAAAGAGATACCTTATTTATTTTTCTGAGAACATAAAACCCCATGATTTTATATATCTGCTACTTAGGAAAAAGTATTGTTGTAATATAGGCAATTATAAATAAATTGTATTCAGTTCTTGCTTTGTAAGGAGCAAACACATTGCAAAAATCTTAATAATAAAAACCCCTTTTTTAACTGAGTCTACTAAGTAACAGTACTTTTTTCACTGAGAGGAAACAAACACACTTGCCATACAGCTGGTTAGGGTGCATTTTTAATACAAACACTTCAAACTGCCTTGTAGTAAAATGAACATTGAAGTTAATACCAGCCCGCCCATCTGCATGAGAAATTTTTCCTTACATTTGAGAACAATGTGGCAGAAGGATTTCCCAAGGGCTGGGGAAAGGGAATGCCCAACGGCTTGGGTGCTCTGCAGCAAAAGCTCTGCCTGACCATTGGTGCTCTGTGAAACCTACAATRAGTTCACAAGACTGGACCATCAATAGATACRTTTTTCTAAATGCAATTTCAGTTTTGTGGTTTCACTTGGGTCTTTTTCCAATTCTGAGCTTGTGCAAAGATGTGTTTGGTTCCCTGGATGATTTACAAAGGGCATGGGATAGGGAAATGCTGCCGTGTTGGTGGTGAGATAGATCTGTGCTGGCTAAATGCCCTACATGGCACTACCCCATAGGATCCTGAAGAGACTGCTCAGAGCCTTTCCCACAGAGGTGTGTAAGGATCTGAATGTGGGATGCTCCATGGGGTCTGGGAGGGGCTGGTGAACATTTTGATAGTAGCCAGAAATAAATGGCTGTCCAGATGTATCATGTGTGAGCCCTCTTGGGATTTGGGATGCACCAATGTGCCAAGGTTGGACAGCAGGGAAATATCACACTGGAAGCAGAGGAAGAGCTACAGAGGCAGTGCAGCTGGTGTGAGCTGAGAAGCTGGGCCAGGAGAGGTGGCAGGCAGTATCCCAGCCCTCCATTCCCAGCTTCTCTGGCAATGACTTTGTAAGTGGTTCTGCATATAATTTCATAGAGTGACAATGGTGTGTTCTCAYTGGGAAAAGTGCCTGTGTTTTCATTTTAACTGGGGTCCTTGCTCTGTAATTACTTGCAAACACTCTATTATATGAGCCAGATGGTACAGTAGATGGCTTTTAGCCGCTCCTGAAAAATAGAGAAGACTCTGACTAGACACCATTTACAATTATTTTTGCTGTTTGGAGCACATGTAGATTACAGCTTGCTTTAAACAGAGGGTCAAGAAGCCTCACAACAGAGGCATGCACACCCTTCAAACTGAGCCTGGCACTGGCAGCAAYTGATGAAGCTGTGGTACCCATCCAAAATATATGTGCTGTAAGGTGCACAAGAGCATAAAGTCAGGCTCTTGCCAGCCAGTGAACATCCACTTCACAGTGCACAGGGCTTGTGGGGGCCTCTGTTCTCCTCTGTACAGGTGCCAGCGTGGGTTTGCAGAGCATTGTCTGTGCTAGATGTATTCTGGTTTGGACAGCACCTGCATCTCCTGCCCTCCGTCGCTCCTTTCCCGGAAAGTCCCCCCCAGCCTTGGAGTTCTTTTTTCCCTACAAAAAATAAAGAATGGTCAGAATTAAAGGAGTCAAAAGTGGTTAATCAGTTTAGGGGCTGTGTTTATGTCTGTGTTTATGTTCCCTCCCTTCTTAGGGGCAGTCAGAGCGAGAGTAAAGGAGCAGTACTCGAAAGGGGGGCAGAGGCTGTTGCTGAAGAAGCAGTAGATGAGGGGGTTGATGGCGCTGTTCAAGGCCGGCAGGTTCTGAATAATCACGGATGCGTAGAAGCGCTCTTTGGTCTCAGGCAGTATGTTGAAGTTGTCCAGGATATCAAAAAGAAAGTAAGGGCTCCAACAGAGAACRAATGCTGCAGGAGAGACAGAGAGAGGAAGAGCTTGACATTGGATAGTTTAGCAATTTAGGGAGGTAATTACACACTCATGGAGAGACTGCCATAATACATAAATATTTGTTCATGCAAAATAAAAAAAAAAGAACCCTCTCCCCATTCAGGATCTTATTTAAGAGAATAGTTATTAGACTGTGCTTTTATTTGTCTTTATTTTTATTTTAATGGCTATAAAATATATTACGTGTGTTTCTCTAAGTGTTTAGAGTGCTCCCTCTAGGCATATTGAGACACTTCTGAACACTRCACAACACATAAAGGGTAAATAGGTAGCCAGTTAAAGCATCATCAGTTATAGTGAAGTGCTCTTTTAATGGTCCCCGGAGTGAGCAGCCAATCTAAATGTACACACAGCCAAAGTGCCGCTCCGTGACAGCGCTGCCTGTCACAGCCACCTATTAAAATAAGGTTCTCAGACACCCAGGAGCAAGGAATGACACCCTTTCACAACGCATTAGGGCAAACCAACGTGTCATTTGGCATGCTGGCTGGAGGTGCTATGTACATGGAGCGTGCAAGAAGATTCTCCTGAATTCCTGTGCTGCCATTTGAGAGATGAATTTTAGGAAGGAAAGAGAGGACTGTACTGCTTGTAGACTCTGCTTTTGTTCTGAGGTGATAAGGGAAAAAGAGGCCAGAGATCTACCTTCATTTGCAGGCATTGGGAATTAATCTGTCCCTCACATATTTCTATGCCATCTCTTCTCARCAAGGCTTTTGATTCAGGATTTGCATAGAAATAATGGGACACGTAGTTCACACAACTAAGCTAAAAGCACCTGGGTTATAAACATACAGGTATCTGTGAATAAAACGCATGATCACATCCTGACCTAAATGAGACAGCAGAGTGGCCTCATGCCTGCTTTCTTGTCACATTAATCAGAATCTCTGCACTGGCAGATAGCTGAACTGAAAGTTCAAGGAAGAGCTAAGCTGCCCCCGTTTTCTAAAGCAACCAAACAGGAGGTGTTTATGCACAGATATATGTAAAATAGCTATGCACAGTGTCAGAGCGTGTATCATAGCAGAACTTTAAGTGGCTTTAAAAAAAATCGATAGATGTTAGGGGTCTTAATCTGTTTGCACATCAAGAGATGCTGGGTGCCTAATATTATCAAGGTCTGCTGAAATACTGAGCACCCATGTGACCTCTCAACACCTGATGGCCTTACAATAGTAGTTGTGTCTCACAAAAGCTTTCTTTGCCATGCAGGAATGTTCAGACACAGAGAAGCTGTCCTTGGGCTTATGAAAAATGTGAATCACATTGGCCCCTCTCATGTCTGCAGATGCTACCACTACACAGTGAGCTAAGCTACTCAAGTGGCTGTTATCACAATATTTTCCAATCTGAATTTTGCATAGTGTTTGAAATAGAAGCAATCTTTTTTTCAGTGTCAAGGGATGACTGTCAGCTCTCGGGAATAAGCGGCTTCGGTTGTTTTCCTGCATGTCTCTGGCAGCTAATCACAAGCCCTGTGTGACGCTGCCTTTGTTTATTGAGATAGAATAKCAGCCTCCTAATTGCATCAGAATAATGTCATTTCCCTGGGAGACAGAGAACACCTGCAMTGGATCATCTGCTGCCCCCTTGGGAAAGGGGAGCTCATTCTTTCCATCTCAGCAGGCAGAACTCCTGTGACATCCAAATGCACTCGCTCCACATCTCACTTCTTCTTCCCTTGCACCACCCCAGCATCTCACATGCCATGGAGTGTCTCTAAGCCTAAAACACAATTCTGTTGCCAAATCTTTTGGCAGTCTTGATGRGAAGGAGGTGACCACTTCCTTTTCCCTTTCAGACATTGTCTTCTTTCTTTATGCACATGAGGGGCTGTATACCTAATTTCATTTAAGCCTTATTTCAGATGCCTAAAATATGAGTGTATCATATCAGAGTGTATGAGCAGGGAAGGACAAGATCAGAAGGCAAATCAGGGGTCTAAGTGAAGCTCCTTCTCCAAACCTTCTACTTTGTGTGCTGATGATAGAKGTTGCTGAGGAAAAGAATCTTCCTAATGTCAGCATCCTCCCCACCCACCAGCTGTGGGGCTTTTCACTTACCAAGGATGATTACAATGCTGTACTTGATCGCTTTCACTTTCGCCCTGGATATGAACCCACGACTGGTGTAGCCAGTGGAGGTTTTGCCACCTGGGAAAAGAGCAGTTCAGCTAGTGAAAGAATAGGGCTGGTGGGTGAATGTGTCCTGCACAGGAATGCATAGCCCCATCCTTCCCTGCTGTCAGTCTGGATCTCAATAGTTCCTGAAATACAGACACTTGCAAGTCTGCTCAAATCTGCTGGATACTCAAAACSTGAGCCACCCAAAATAAAAAGGGAAAATGTAAGAGCTGGGTAGATCTTCCTGAAGCACTGAGGCGTATATGGTCTTGGGATGAACRCTCATTGTGTGACTTTCTGTGGCCAGGAATTTCTGATCTTGAGCAAGATTCAGACTTGCAAGGACATGTGAAAACACAGAAAAAGCGTTACCTAGTATAAGCTAGATAAAAGCTGTTCTGGAAATGGACAAACTTCTGGGAATAGGAATTCTAAGTTCTAGAATAAGTAGTTTTTACTTTTTAATCATTTTCTCACAGATGTTTCCTATTGTTTCTCCAAAGAGAATTTAATGTCAAAGGAAAGAAGGTAAATAATGTAAAAATGAGTTATGATTGAACAAATACAGAAACCCCATTCCCATGGAAATGATGGGACCCAACATGACACTGCACGTCCAGGCACTCCCAGATTTGTGAGGATCAAGTGGAATTGAATCACAAGGCTGGAGTCACGGGTATGCTGAGACTCACCAGGACAGCTGGATATGATGACAGCCTGAGCTTTGCTCTTCATCCAGATGGTTCGAATCACAATTGAGTATATGACACTGCACAAGGGGAAGAGTTGCTGGCATTATTAGGCACAATAAATTTAACAGACATCCCAGTCATTTCTGTTCTAAGAATACTTATCCAGGTTTAAGGAGTTCACAGAGATGGTGGGACTGCATAGGAATAATAGTAAGTGACAAAAATAATCAATACAGTGTGACTCTCCCACAATATTTTTCAGAAGCTGATCTGGAGACTTTTCACCATGGAAGTCTTTACGGCTGTCTTGGCTTTGAATGTAAAATCTCAGGCTCAGAGGAATGCAATAATCTTGCAGGCAAGAGATTATTGGTGATTTTGAGCTAGCCAAAGCCAAATCTATCTGAGTACCAGCCCTGGGACACTAGCTGTGAAATGAGGGAAGCAAGGGAGGCAACTGGTTTTGCTGTATGTAAACAGCAAAACACTTCTCTTTTGCTGTTATTTCATGAGTATAAAGCTGGTGAATAAAATTTTACCCTGGGGAGTTTGATAAGGGCAAGATCCATGAGAAATGCAAATAAATACAGCAGTGCTCAGTTTTGGGTCTCAAGGTCCTGTGGTGGAAATCAAGGAGGACAGAAGTGTGAGATAAATGCAAAGAGTTAGATGATACAAAACCAGATCCACCACAATTTGCATATTTAGAGAGGTTTATATAGTTTCAATAGGAAAGACAAAAAGCGCCCAAGTACACAATGACCTTGGAAAGTTATGAACTTTCTCTATGTGATAACCAGTCTGAACTTCTATTGATTTAGTATGGAACAGGTAAAAACAATTCATTCAAGCTGAAGAGCTGTTTGAACCCACATCCTGCTTGAGGATTTTAACTTTGCATCAGTTCACTTACAAAAGATACAAAGCCTGGGTCTTCTCCTGCAAAACATGTATAACCTGCTAAAATCACTAAACAACAGCATGCCTTTGGCTGTTGTTTACCTGTTTAGTTTGCTAAGGAAGACAAAAAAATTAAGACTATTTCAACTAATGTATTCAGGTTGCCATGTTTTCCTGATGTAACAAACCAAGCAGAAGTGGCCGTGTACCATTTGCAACACACCAGTGTGCTAGAGCATCCAGGGCAGCAGGAGCACTAATTGCCATTAGCCTTAGTAGTCCTCATGTGAAAAAGATGCGACGAAGGACATTATTTTAGGGTGTTTTACAGAGGCAAAAGGGGTCTTATTGTTATGTGGATAATTTTTGCTATCAGAAGAGGCATTATTCTGTTTAGACCTTTCAGACTAATATACGAGTCTGTCCTACAGCATCCTCAACTGCTAGACACACTTGAAAAGACAGTATTTCTGCTCAAAAAAACCAGTGGAAGCTTGGAGTTTTCCTCTTTGTGGAAGTTTGAGCCATCTGGTTCCCAGGCTCAGTAGGTGAGGCTGTAAATTCAATGTGCACTCCGGGCAGCGATGTCCTTGCCCAGCGAGGGGTTTGCCTGCATCCGCCATGGACTGCAACTTGCTCTCCTTAATCCCTTCAAAGGTCCAGCTTGGCTTCCAGCTGATTTGAACATTTTCCTTTTATCTCCTGGCTTTTCAAGAGGTTGTTTATTTAACAGCTCATACACTTGAGCGTTTCTTTGTACTTCTTACTGACAATGGTGGAAAATTCACATATCATTTCTCCTTTGATTGTTCCAATGAAACAGAATGTATTATAATGATAATTGTTGTCATCTCAAAAAAATTTCCAGCCAGCTCTTAAGTGTCCTGTTTCTATTTTCTTCCTAGCCTGCTATCTCTATCCTGACCTCTTTATTTGCAGTTGAAATTACGTCTTCTCTGATGCAGATTTTCCTTTGTCCAGCAGGACACATTCAGAGTTCCTTAAGCATCAGGACAAAGGAGTCTAACTCTGTAGTCAAAACACTCAGACTCCCTACTTTCAGCCAAATGTCATAAGGATTGAATTATAAAGCCAGGCTTCTGACTTACTTTCCCTTTAACCCCAGAATTCCTGCCCTCTTGGCTGCAGAGTGTGGTAGGAGCAAGTCATTCCCAGATCCAGTTATGGCATCTGTCTTCTTCACTGGCATTTCACATGTGAGATTACATGCTGATTCAGTTGAATCCTTAATTTTTAGAACTCCAGAGGAAAGTTGAATTCCTGTTTTCATCCAGCAGCTTATAAAGTGCTGCCAGCATAGTGGATTTGTGTGGGTGTTTTTGCTTCTGTTCATCTTTCATTTCTCTATAGTGGAAGCCACTGGAGCCTTTCTTATCAGGAGTGGACCAGAGATGGTGTAAAGCTACTCAGGGTCACTTGTCATGCTAGGTACTCTTCTGAGCAACTCTTTTGCCAGCCACAATTATGCCTTTATGATTTGATCTCTCTGGGACTATAATTCTGAGTAGTACCTAACCCTTTTTTTTTTCCCCAGCAATGCTGGCATGGAGCTAAGAAAGTGGACTCTCAAGAAATGTGTCACCTAAAGCAGAGGACCATAACAGACAACTGCATGTCTGTTTCAAAGCCATAAAAGTAAAAAGAGGGCACTATGTAACAGAAGTTCTATTTTTCGTACATGGGAAAAGCAGCCTTTTTTCAGAATACATTTGTAGCTCCTTTCCTTCCTGCAAAATGCTGCTGGAGGAGGATGCAGGGGTTGGTCAAATCTRGAAGAAATTCTCACTTAAAAAATGAGGTGGCAGATGAGCACAGAGTAGCAGGGAACAGGCAACAAACTGTCTTTCAGAGGAGGGTTTGGCAATGGTCTGCACCATTCTGACAGTGTCATAATCTCCATTGCCTTTCTCTGGATGTCAAACTGCTCAGCCTTCACTGCCAAGGTGTAAAAGCGCGTGGCACACATTGCCACAAACCTCTTTTTCCAACCCATGTACCATGCCTGCCTTCTGCTTGCCCCGTGTCCACTGAAAGCACTGGGAGATGTGCAGTTCTTTAGGGTGCAGCTCTTCCAGAAGTTGTCAGGCTCCTTTGGTCTGTAAGTGCACAGCACACTGGTCTTGCAGCCCAGGTTGTGGGTGAGAGACTAAGGAAAGGGTGCTACTCAGGTGGAAGGGTCAAACCTGGATGGAAAATTCATCCAAGCCACTCTGAAAAGCAGCTGCTCAGTCTTTGAAGACCACAGGATAGAAAGGACACACTGTTGGTCTGAAAATGTGATGATTTTTCTAACCCTGATAAAATGCAAGTCTCCAGAGGTGGCAGGAAAATACAAAAGTATGCCTCACATTATGGACCTGTCTCAGAAATGAAATTTTTTGCATCTCCAAAAACAATTGAGCCTGATCCAAATTCTAAAGGATTAAGAGGCATATTCATTATAGCATATTATTAGTTCATGATGCTGTTTAATATGCCTCATTCGTAACTACAGTATTTTTTAACCACGTAAATAGGTAACTTATGCTTAGCCATACAAATGTAACTGTGAATAATCCCACCCCATCTTATTTTTACATCATAGACCACTTTTCCTGTTGAAAATAAAATGTCTTCCAATAAAGCTATATATTGATATTAACAATATCAATAAGCATTACTGATCTGCCCACTTTTAAATATAGATTTTATTTTGAAGTAAATAATTGCACTATGACAGCATTCCATGCAGCCTTAGTATTTGCTAGTAAAATGAGCTTTTACCACAGCAAAAGTGCACTTAAGCTTCCTGTTAATTAGTTCTATTTATCATCCAATATTGCCTATTGTTCCTTATATTTTATTTGTACAAAGTGATGCAGCTGCTTTGTTTTATGGTAGTTAATTTACAGCACTATTTATCTAAAGAGAAAAGTAACCTCATCTGAACAAACATTGCAAGAATATGTAATGGGTAAGTGAAGAGATGGGCAGATATTAGAACATATGCGCAAGATCTAGGGTTTTTATTTAGAAATGGAAATTGCAGGCAAAAATGAATGGGCTCACTAAATCAAGTTCAAAAAATGACCTTTGGTATTTTTATTAATGGTATTTCCAGCCCCTTTATTTGATTTAATTCAGAGAAATACCTTTTATTTAATCTATTTTTTTTTTTCATTGCAGTGCCTTGGGTTTAATTCCATATTTTTCCTTTTAGCTGATTCTGGTTTTTTTCTCTTCTAATTATTTTTCAGCTGCTCCAAAGCAAATGTTCTCTTTGGAGTTTGGATTTTAAACAGCAGATGGATATCTTTTCCCTCTGTGCTTCAAGAGGAGCTTTAGCAATTTTTTAAAAAAACATGAGTTTGCAATTATATTAGATAAATGTCTCTGTATTATATTTATAATGGTAAAATATAAAAAAAATATATTTAGCAATCATGAATAACAGCTAAAACCCCTCTCAATTTCTGGATACTCAAATGCCAGAATATAATTATGTTTTGGCACAGAGTAGCAATGCAGAATAGAAACCCAGTAGCTTCTCTGTCTCCCCATCACAAGTTCTGAGGGGCCCAGGTGCAAATATTTGCAAGACAGCAGCATGTAATCTTGATTTGATCCATATTTAACCTCTGTCCAGCAGTGCCCCAGAAGTTTTCAGCTATTACAGATAGCATTTGAGCTTTGCTTGGTGTATGTGGGCATAGGAGAGAAGGCTTTGGTTATAGCAGATGACACTTGTCCCAGGAGAGGAGAGAACTAATTACCAGAGGTTCCCTAATTTTTTTTTTTTTTAATTTTCTCAGACTTGGTAGATTGATAATATTAACTGCAGAAGAAGTGGTAGAATAATGTAAATAAGAGGGAACAGGCCAAATTTTTAAGCACTGTGAAGAAATACCTGACTCAGGATCTTGGCTCTTCCTGTACAACACTGAGACAGCGAGGACAAGTGAAGTTTTAATTTGAAAACAAATATTCTCCTCTTTTTTCAGCTCTCAAAGACATTCATACACTTGGGTTAAAAATACTAATCATAGCTTTTGATTTTCTTTTCATTATTCAGGTCTTGTTCATTGGTATTATAATCAGATGAAAAAACTTGCTGAAAAACCACAAGATCTTTGATAACTGATTGCTGCTTCTCTAGTCGTGAAGGAGTGGTAGGAATGGGCGTATTCAAATCCTTCAGTTTGTTGCAGTTTTCTTGAAAAATTACTGTTCTATATATACGTTTAAAAAAAAAAAAAAAAGGAGGGGAGAGAGAATGCTGTTTTCTTCTGGTTCATGTTTTGTCTTGGTATCTATAGGTTTTGCTTACACCACATCTGGGGGTTTAGCTTGTCAGGGGAAGGGTTTTCCAGACTGAGCATAAGGTTATCAGCTAAATAATTCATTCCATGGGCTGCAGTGTTATGAATAACACAACTCCTGTGAGTTGCTTGAAGGCTGTCAGGAACATGTGAAATCAGCTCTACTGAGAGCGGAGGGATGGATGAGAGAAGCTTAAAAGATGATGGTGTCTGGACTGTAACAAGTGAAAACAGCTCAGCCAAAGCGGTGTATCTAGTGTGGAATTAAGTCCTGCACCTGAAAAGTGAGATTTTATCCTTTGTATGCACTTCAGATGAACAGCACCAGAAAAAGTGCTGTCATCAGTGAACTGCTTTGCTCTAGAGGTTAGGTTTTCAGCAGATTCAGGCAGCAGAACTAATTAAGAATTAACTCCGCCAGCCAGTGTCCCACATTGCGTCAGACACCTGCCATGCAGTTAAATCAGAGTGCTTCTGCAGAGAAAATAAAGTAGCTGTGCAAACAATATGAATTCTTGCAGAAAAGGTTTTATTTTTTTCCCTCTGTGCACCCTGCCTCATTTCCTCACTAAGTGTGCTGTGTGCTTTGGCTTCTGGCTTGAGTGTATTCACAGTTTCTTCTACTGAGCCTTGACTTTTCAATTGCATGTTTATGGATCTTCTCTCCATTGTTATGTTGTGGCCTTTTTTAAATAACATCTTCGACTAAAGGTTATTAAATTAAAAAAATCACAAAATGCCTTCCTACATTTATTGAATAACACCTTTCATTTTTATAAATAATCTCCTGACAGAGTAACACATGACTGGGATGTACGTGAGCTCTCATCCTTATGAAATAGCACCTCATTTATCATCAAACCCCCAGTGYGTCTGAAAGTATTGTGTGGAACAAAACTTTTACAGAGAAACTGAGTCCCTGCAGATGTTAACAGCCATTCCTGCTGTTCTCAAGCCACAAACTGCTTACCAGACTATTTGTATGCTGCAGCCACATCAGGTGAATTAGCTTCAAACTCCTAGACTGCCAATAATTTTCAAAGAAATAGATGTCACACCTTCAGGCTGTGTTGACAGATGTTTTACAGATGCATCAGATGGGAAGTTGCAACCTTCACTTTTATGCCTGAGACTTAAAAAAGTGTTCTAAAAAATTGTAGTTTCCTCCCAAACTGCATGGCATTTTTTCATAATGTCTCTGCTGACCTTGCCCCGATGATAATCCTCTTTTTCTGTTTTAGACAATCCTCTCTGTTCTGAAGAAAATAGTATCACTGACAACTAGAAATAAATAAGCATAAAATAAATCCTTCCCTGCACCACTCCCCTTCCTTCCTTCCAGTGCCAGACACCACTTTAGATCTGTCAAAAATCTGACGTCTGCTGGCAAGGACATAGGAGCATTAGTGTTTATAATAAACACTGAAACCAGGAATGTTTCTGGGCAGGTGACGGACACTGCACTGTCCCTCTCTTTTCAGCCAGTGGTTTTAGTTCCTGTCCTGCCATATACTTCTTGTGTGAAAGTTGCTTAAGGTTAAAGCCACAAAAATTTTAGGATGTTTTATTCATATCTCAGATGTCAGGGCAATCTCATGAAATGCCAGTTTCCCTGCCTTTCTCTTTCCTCTCATGTCTTCATCACCTTCTTGCTTCTGGGGATTTACTGTAAAGCAAGTCACAGAGCTGATCTGGTTTGAATATCTTTCTTTGGCAGGGAGGAGGGGAGCATAATGTCAACAGCTCTGAAATATTTATTGCTCTGCAGCTTGCCTTTTCTTGCCAAACAGAATAGATGGTGTGTAAAAGGAGTGGCTGGTCTGTAATCGAAACCATGCTAATCTGTACGTTTGAGTGTGAAAGAGATGTTTCACACTCTTAAGGAATGACTGGTGACTGGGCAGGCTGTGGGGGTCTTTTCCTAAAACACTTGAGATGCTGGCTAGAATTTTCCAACTGCTGGCTATTTGAGAAAGCTCATAAAAGAACCCCTTTCATGGTAACAGCCACCCTCAAAGTTCCTGGTACCATTTCTTCTCACTGTTAAATTGTTTTTTGTCTGTGCAGTGTAGGTTTATTGTTTTTGCTGCTACTGCTGGGCTGCAGATCTACCCACATTTCTATTTACATATTCCCAAGAATAAGTTTTGTTTATTTAAAACTAGGCTGGCTTTCAGAGACATGAAAACATGCAGAGAAATGGTCCTGTCAAGGAAGGAAGAGCTACTGGACAACTTGGGAGTAGTTTTTCCTCTCTTGCCATCATGTCCTTTCTTTAAGGAGAACTTCCTTGATTTTGTTTATTATATCTATGCAATCTTACACAAAAAAGGAGGGTTTAGGAAACTGATATATTATGAGCAAAGTAAAAATCATCTCTCTAGGGAACAGAACTGGTCCATGTTGAGTCCATATCAAAAAGTCAGCTAGATGAGTTCAAGCCTTGCATGGTTTTGATTCTATCAGAGATAAACTTGTTACCATTAAAAGCTGCAGAACTTAATCTCGGTGATAAAAATAGTAACAAACTTCAAGGCATTTATTCAGCTTATGCAGTCAGCCCTGTCATCATCTAGAAAAGATCAGCCCCTGCCCACCCTACTCTCACCCAGGGCACTCCTAAGCAAAAAACTAAAGGACATTCAGGGCTCATCACTTGTTGGAAAAGCAGATGGACCAAGAGATAAATCCAAGGGACATTGCAAACATAGTTTCCCTCCCAGAGCCCAAGCAGCCTGTCACCGAATTGTGGGGGGAAGAAAGGAGACCCACCAAGTCTTTCTTGCTGCTCACGAGAAGAGACRGTCACCAAAAAACATGATTGTAACCTTGCTTGTGAATGAGAAAAAAAAAGGGAAAGAAAAATAAGGGCTCAAAGAACTTTTAGTGCCACTGGCAGCATTCTGAGGCAGTTAGGAAGCCTCACTCCTCTTCCATATCTAATTTTGACTGTTCCTTCGCACTGGTGGCTCCTCATGGCTAGTTAACTTCTGTTTAATGGCAGCTAATGGTAGTGCCCTAGAGGGAGGCAATAAACTTCACTGATCACTAAGCACAGTCTGTAATATTTGTTGACCTCTGTTTAATGTTGACCTCTGTTCTGCAGATTGTGTTTTGGGGCAAACCAGTCTCAAATACCTCCAGCTTAAGTTTCCCGTTACAAGACAGGAAGAATTGCATTTGTTCGTATTTTAGGAGTGGTTGGTGACTTCAGTGCTTGGAGATTTCTTTCCAATCCTGGTGAAGGAACTCCTGTCTAGTACTGTGAAGCTTAAGAGCACTTCAAGTTAATTTTAGTTTAATTAGTGTTAAGTGTCTTTTCCTGTTCTTATATTAAAATTATCTTTTGTAATAATAGATAAATATTCATACTGGGTTTATAAAGATATCTTTCAAGCTTGAAGCTGTGCGGATAAGTGGACGCACTTAGAAATTCATTTATTTTTTCAGAGAAAATGTTTCTGACTGTTAATACCACACAGAGAACACCCAGGGCAAGTACAACGACCCGTGTATTATTTGATAAAAAACGGAGCAGCTATGCAGCAGGTATGGGAATTAAATTGTAATGAATTAGTAGAAATTAAAGCATTAAGCTGATTGCACACTTGACAGCTTTCACCACATGCTTGCTGACTGGGGTTCAGGCTTACCTGATAATGATCAGAGGAATGAAATACACCAGGAAAGCCACCACGGTCATGTAGGGGATCCAGTAGGAGTCATCAGGCCAGATAGCCCAGCACTGCACTTCCCCATTGGAGAGCTGCCGCTTCCCAAAAATAATCAGAGTTGGTATGGAAAACAGGAAAGAGAGGCTCCAGGCCACTCCAACAAGCACTTTCGCCTGTCTTTCTGTGTAACAGAGTCAAACAGACTGTGTCAGTGGGGTTGTTGGTGCCAGTGAACCCTTGCAGCACTATTGACAGAAAGGCAGGGAGGAGGAGGAAACTCTGTGAAGAAAGGGAATTTTGTACTGCAGCTGGCTGATGCTGAAAAGACTTCAAAGGAGAATGAGGATTTCATCTCYTTCTCATGATAAATTGTCATGTCATTATGGGCTTGTATTTTGCAAGTTTTATATAAGGATGTTTAGGGCCCATTGAATGTGAGACACCATGAGAAAGGCATTGGTCAGGGTCAGCAAGTCAGAAACACGAAATGCAAATTGTACCTCTGTGCCACCAAGAGAACATCATGAATTAATGTAAAGGACTGCAGGCCTGCCCTACTGCATGCCTAGTGATGCACCTTGAAATTAGAAAGATTGCAAAACATTTCCTATGAGGAAAAAAAATGCCTCAATTCAGAACAAGACCGTACAACAAGCTGCCTTTATCTCCAGCTGTGACTTTACTRTCCCAAAGAAACCTGGACCTGTGGAGCCACAGCATCTCCTACATTTCTGTGTGTCATGGTGCGGATCAAACAGAGCTCCTGCTGATGAGCCCCAGCCACMCCAAGAGTGGACTGCTAACCATGAKAGAGGGCRGATGATGGTGCTCAAGTGCCCAGCCCTGTTTTATCTGCTGCAATATACAGGAACTGGGAGACCCTGCTGGACCTCATGGTGAAGAAMAGGAGCTGAAGGATCCCAAAACATCCATTAGGTTTGGGTTACTGCRTCCTCTTGGTTTCTGGCCACTGCCAAGTGGGGAAAAATAAGTGGGAAACCAAATGATGCCTGGTGTCACCCATGGGATTTTGTAAATATTGATGGGTTGGAGCAAAAAGTCCCAAGGCTCTAATTTTCAAAAACCTGCATCTTCTGGCTAAAATCCAGTTAGTTCTAGCTGAAAAAGAGCTGATCTGTGGAGTACCTATGATTCTCAGTGACAGTTATTCCTCCTCASCCAGATTGCGAGAGGAACAGATGGGGACAGATTTTTTTGATCTGGGAAGCTTTAGTGTTCAAATACTTTATTGTCCTAAAAAAATACCCGAGGTTGTGTGTGAAATAGAAAATCACTTTAAATTATGCATATCAAGAAGAATGKCTTTCCTCCTTGAAGCGCAAAGAGCAATACAAAAGCATGTGGGTGAAACATTCAAAAAGTAATTTTATGCTTTATAAAACATCAGTTGCAAATACTCAGTTATCCTGCTCATTTTTAGATGCTACCCACATTCAGCAAAGTATGGTCTTGCTAATCTAGGGCTTAAGGGAACTCTGATGACATCTGTGTGAGAGGGTTAGATTAAGGCTATAAATATTGTACAAGCAAAGGAGAACTGTGAAGTTTCCCAAAGCATAAGAGAATAAACTTAGCAAAAGGGATATTAAGAATAAATTTTGCAAAATATTTCCTGACAGAAAGGACATTTCAAATATAAGCTAACTACTTATACTACAATCATGCAAGCCTCACTGGGGCCCACCTGTGTATTTCTAATTGAAAAAGTTCAAAGTTGGAAAATAAGCCTTATTTTTCTGTAGTGTAAAGCAAAAACATTAATTTGAACAGAACTGGGCAATTTGCACTGGGCTGAGTGGTCTTGTATCTTTGTGTTTCATAAATAATTTCCTGCAAGTTTCATTTATTCCTGTTTTTAAATGCCCCTTTAGTTTGGTAGAATATGGCCTTGCTAGTCTAAAAGGGCTATATTTATAAGGCACTGATAGATAAGGAGATTKCTGTTTTATCAGAATAATGTTAATTGTCTGCCTCACCAGCAGGGATCTTTTATGCTGCATTTTTAATAGTTGCTCTAATATGMTCTAAATGCCAGCAAATCACATAACTAGAGCTATATCAATTACAAATGAAATCAAACAAATTACAGCTTTTGAAACTCAATATTCAATTCAACCAGTGAAAACATTTTCCTTTGGAATTTTTCATACTGGGGTGGTCAAGACTCACTCCCARGGCTGGAGTGGGAATCTCAGTTGTGAGCTCTGGCTCTGACTCTCCTAAATGATGTTTCCATGTGATTGTCCCCTTTACTCTGCTGCCACCTCTGTGCATTGTGACAATGGGTTTGAGTACCTTTCTGCTCCCAGCAATGTGGGACAGGGAGCCACCGCTTGGAACSAACTTTGCTTCCTGCCATCAAGAGTGTCAATGCTATGCAATCCTTTGATRAATTGTGTGCCTCTTCAAAATTAGGTTTTAAATCCAGGGAGAGCAGAGCTGTTCCAGAATCTCAGTGATAGCATTGTGTTCAGCCCAAAGCCATGCAAGGATCTTTTTTTCATCTGTCGTTTAGTTTGCATGTTGTTTGCACATACCTTTTCAACACGATGAAGTATTCACAAAATGTWTCCTGCTATAATTCCTTAGTTTCTTTGCTTTTTGATCTTTATTTTACCATTTTTTTCTAAATGACCCTTTTGGTTGTAGAATTAGGTGTCTCATGGTAAAAGCTTTAGGATTGGAAGGCATATTTATTTGCCTTCTTTATCTGTGATCATTTATGTATTTGCAAAGTACAAWATATTCAACTGTTGAAGTTTGTTCCCTTAAAAATCATGCAAAGTACAGCTCATAGCAAATTATTTTTAACAGGACTTGAGGCCAGTAACTAAACCACAATTTAAAATAATGGTTTGACATTTTCAAAGTGAAATGTCTGATTTTTTTTCTAAAATGATATTTCAAGGCTACATGGAAACATAATATTTCAAATCAGTAAGGAGAAAGAACTCCTTTGTTTCTTGATTGAAGGATTTCAAGGGGATGAGTGTTTCATTTTGGAAAGAAATTTGCCACAGGTTGACTCAGAAKTGTTCATGAAGTTCCTCTGTGTCATCGCCAATGACAAAGATTTGTAAATCCCTTTGTTCTCTATCTGCAGAATAGCTAAGAGGGCACTTCAAAAGCATCCCACATGGCACCTCTGCAAGAAATAGCTGGGTGCAAAAGGTGATTATTTATGTATATTCCAGAAAGCTGCTATGATAAACGTACCCATCTAGAGCTTTCTTTTAGATTTACAGCTGCCTTCATTTTTCCTTTGAACATGTTTTTTTTCTTGTGCATTAGTGTGCAGCCAGCCCTTGCAAGAGRCAGGTGGATTTTGTCAGTGTTCTCTCTGCTCGTGACCTTTCCCCCTGCCCAGACCTGCACCTAGCTGATGATTCTGCCACCCTCGATTGGGGACAATGTCAGCTCTTCTCCAGTCTTAAAAAAAACACCACCAACAAAACTTTGTTGTATAGGTATAGGAAATGGGATTTCAAAAAGGCTTTTATGAAGATTTGAAGTGATTTTTCATGGGTTCTTTTTCAACTTCAAAGTGCTTTTCAAAGGTTAACCTTCAAATTCTTCACTATGCCCAGGCGGTAATTTAACAAGTGCTGCTTTTCGTGTACCATGAATGAAGAAGAGGTGCCAGCAGGTCTGTCCCACAGCTCATCCTGCTCAGCCAGCAGGTTTATGAGCCCCCACCCTGCCTGGTTTATGAGCCCTTCTGCAGGAGATGYAGAGCAATGCCACCCCTCCCAACACCCGCTGGGAAAACCTTGATATCCATCTCCCTGTTCTGAAAGAGYTGATTTGCACACTGGGGAATATAAAGCTAAATTTCACACAAGCATTTGAAGCTTTCAGACCTTAACATCTGCCAAAGCCGCACCACTGTCTCAGCTGTGATTGACTCATGGGTTTTTAAGGCCAGGAAGGACCATTAATCTGATCTCCTGAATAGAGCCGTCTGGCAAAARCCATCATTACTCCAAAACAAGAATGGCATTTGCATCTGATTAAAGCACATCCTCCAGACCTCATGGTTCTGGTAACTGTTCTTCTTCCTCCCCACCTGCTATTTCTGTTTTTTCACTCAGTGCAACATACTTAACAGCCYACTTTGGCTCTTTAGGAAAGAAATAATTTTCTTTAAACTGTRCTGCAAAGAGGCCAAGATATATCTGAGTGCTGTAAAAAAAACTGAAACCAAACAAACAGAAGRAATTATAAGAAACAATAGATATCCAAACTTATATGCTATATCTTTTGAAGATATATCAAATTACTGTATAAATTCTCAGTACCACACCTTCCATCCAACCTGTTTTTTAACATGAATAAACAGACTGTAWAGATGTTGCAGCTCATACAGTACAGATATGTACCACATATCCCCTAGTGGTACAGGGGATATCTTTTCCCCGTAATAACCTTCTAAAAATGCTGGAAAATAATGAAAACCACCATACTTTTTGAAATGTCATTTCATTCTTTGCTAACACAATACTTAYAAAAACTGCTGAGGGCTAAGTGGAGTTTAATAAATCTTGAAACCACAGCTCCTTCATAATTGGGAAAACTGAAACTGAGTTCAAATGTAGCTAGAGCAGGAATGAATAATTCATAGCAACAAGGATAAGAATTTCGAAAACCAAAAAATTATCCAAAAACATCTATAGCAAGAATAAGGTACCGAAATTCTCCTACCTCCTTGCAAGAACTTCATGGGGTAAACTATGGCATGATAGCGGTCTATGCTTAGTGAMACGAGGACGTAAGTCGAGGCATAGAGAAGGACCACCTGGGGCAGAAAGTATAATGAGACAGCAGTTGAGACATGTCTATTGCAGAAGGTGATGTCAGTGAGAACTCTGAACTAGGAGTGTTTCAAAACTTACAAAAAAAAAGGAAAGAAAAGGCAACCCCCCCCCCTTGTATATTCACCCAGGTATTTTTCCTTTTTCCTGTCCACAAAATTTAAAAGATTTAATATGCTTTAACTAACATGTTTCACCTTTAAATGAACCTTTTCAGCATTAGCACTTTTGTTTCTAGAAAAAAATGTATACAGCATTTTTGTCAGAGTTTACTGCTATGGGGACACAAAGCATGAGGTTTTTATACCTGGAAGTAGCGAACGATCCTGCAAACGATATCAGGGGCCATAAAATCTCCAGTGTAGCGCCAGATGATGTCAGTCATGATGTTGATGAGTCCTGTGAATGAGTCTACAAAGAAATTAAGTGAAGAAGCATTAAAAGAAGCAAATACATGACTGCAGGTGAACCACAGAAGCAGGGGTGACCCTTGGGATGTATCAGCTCCCCCATCCTGAGGGCAGTCAAGCCATGACCAGTCAGCCCAGTGCAGTACAGGAAGATGGGAAAGCCTCAGAAAACACTCCRAGGTTAGTACCTAAGTGTGTCAGCTTGATTCCAGCTGTGACAAATACTGAACTACTTAATGTCCTTTATTCTTTGTTATTTCAATTATAATTGTCTCCTGTGAAAGCACCTGGAGTGGCAACYGAGTGCTGCTAAAGTTAGTGGAAATTTTGTCAGGAGTTAATTTGCAAACTTAATTAATTAATGACTAACCCTGCCTTGTCAGCTTAAAGTTAACCTACTTATGCCTGTACTTTTATATTTGCCAAATTAAATACACCTCAGGCTATCATTTTTTTTCTTCTTGGTTTTTTTATTTTTTTCTCTCTTGAGAAAATCTAAGGAGATACTCCAGCGTTTGTTCTGCTTTTTACTGAACAAGTGGGTGCTCACAGAGATGCACATTTTACAAATGAATCACAAGAACTGGTACTCCTGTTGTACATATGGATGGTATTAAGTTTTGTCTTTAAAACCAAATGCTCTGACTTGGACAGGATAAATGTTTCCAGTGCAGTCCATGGAAGAAAATGTGTACCATTGTGTACCAAAATCCAGTGTCCTGCCACTTCAAGTTACATGTCATGTTGCTCTTCTTGCACAGATTACCACCAAGGGAGAAAATAGGTTGCGAAAACTWTTTTTRTGTAGTTTTTCAGGATAAAACCAAKAAACATAAAGAARCAGCTTCAATTTATATCAAAATTAATTGAAGTGGTGAGGTAAAGTGTTACATTGATATCACCATTTCACACATTCAAAAGCCATCTCTAAAATTTAGTTTGATAAAGATGTTCTAACCCCCATATAAAAAGATTTTGATTTGAAATTTATGCCTTTGAAAACAAGATATTTCAACATTTAAAAAAAAAAAATTATAAATAAGCAGTTTGAGAYAGTATTTCCAAGCAGACAGGCATGTATTTTGCAAAATAGGTATGTTCTAAGTCCTTTGAAACTGCAGAAATTGTGTATACTTCTAGTTGGAAACTGAGATTTCAGCTTAATGCTTCAGAAAGAGCAACATTTTTTGCTTCATTGGAAAATCAGGGTTATTTTTTTCTGTATCGGTAATCCTTTATCTCCTCATTTTCTTCTTTCATGTATCTTCTCTTCTTCTTCAAGGCTCAGTTCAAAATTAGATTCGCGTAACCACATTGCCTCCCTCCTTATGTCTATCTTTCAATTAATACTGTTTTGCTCTTTATTCTCACARTGTTTCCCAAACCCATTTTCTCTCTCTTCTCTCTTCCCTTGCCTCCAGAGAGAGGCTGGATCAGAGACAACCTCCAAAAGGAAATTTGTGGTTTGAAACCTTTTGTTAAGTGTTGTTCATTGATTGGGGTGATGGGGTAAGGAATGATTGCTCCTCTGATGAGTATAGTGGTTTTAAGACTTTACTGAAAAGACTGTAGGTGTATATAATTAAGGTGGTCTTTGAAAAAAACCACAGAGTTTAAGTGTTTCAAAAAGTGAAGTGCATCCTCCAGCAGTGGTTCCAACCCACCCCTTCCCCTTTCCTTGCTCCTGAATTATTGATTCATATTCTCTCTCTCTMCAGTAATGAAATATACATTGGTTCAAAGTATTACACATCAATAGAGCTTCACCTCGGGGCATCCTCCGGCTTTTGATGGTCTGAGCATCTGCCAAGCAGGTGCTAAATCAGGGTTCAGCTTTCCTCAGGAGGGGGAGGGTGCACAGGCTGCCCTCCCTTACCAATCTCAGTGCACTGAAGAGGAAAGGGAGGGAGAATGGACAGCACCTCAGCTATCTCTTCATTCCCCTGTTCTCACCACCATTTYCTGTCCCTTTCCAATGCATCAGGAGAGAGCTTTGAAGGTGCATCTGCCCACATCAGCTTTTTAGTTTGCATCAGGAGTGTGGTTTTTAACCTGTGGATGGCCCCCCATTCACTGTTTCATGGGATGGAGATCCATGGGGGAAACAGCCTTGTTCAGCTGATGCTTTGCCCAAAAATACTCTTCAGCGTTGCCCTCCTTGCATCCCACACCAGAGACCTGCCAGCCAGTGCTCAGGCTGAGGAACCATGGCAAAGTTTATGCWGCAGGAACAGATCCTTCTCCATAAATGCTGAATGTGGATATCAGCACTGTCTTTTTCATGCTACAGGTCTCTTCCCACTGYGAGTCATTAGCTGCAAATATATCCATACCTTAAGTACTTCAGGAGCTTTAAAGACAACTCAGAATTGTCTTCACTTGAGAGCTGTTCAGTGAGGTTTTTCAGGTGATTGCCGAGGCTTTTCAATGAGGCTTAAACTTCACAGCTTTTTCGTGATGGTGGCCTCAGCTCCTCTCCCCCAGCAGAGTTTTGAGAGCTCTCTGTGCTGAATTTCAGAATTGTTATGGAGGGCTCGGTGTGAGCCTCCAAGCACGTGCCCCTGAGCACAACACACATGTGTGTACCAAAGCCAATGCACCCAGYTCTGCAGGTGGGACAAATTTAACCAGTTCTCTCAGTGCCCTTTAATTATAGAAACATTCTCCCACACAATGTCCTCATGCCCTCCTCAGGATTTAGAAATATCTCTTGTCTTTTCCATCCTAAAAGTACCAGATTAACTTTTCWCAGAGGATCCTTAGGTCCTCTGCTGCCTGCTCCAGAGGGGGTTTCTTATCCCATCTCTGCAAAGGACTGGTCTCGCTCAGCATGACCCAACCACACACCTCTAGGTGATTTGTCCTGCAGACTTTGTATAGGGCCACCAGGTAAATAGTGGGTCTTGTCCTGGTGACCAGACAGCATGAAGGGAAAAGGGAGCAAACCTACAAATTGTGACATCATAGGATTGCCGTGTACATTATGGTCTGTTGCCTGTGTGCATCATTTTCTATTTTGAATCTGTTACTCACTCTCTAGTCAGCTGAATGGTCCCCCTGTGCTAAGCACACATCACACCACCAGCAGCACTGCTTGTCCTYGGTGTCCAATCTGAACATTTCTTGTTCACATCCTTCCCTTCTCCAGAGCCACAAGCACCTCGTGCAAACTTTTATTAGTGATTTTGACATTGAATGTGCTGCTCATTACTCTGCTATCTTACTGCTCATCACACCCTCAATAATTAGACTTTAGGTTTTTCACACCTTCACAACAYTTTATCTTGCAACCCCTTTTTTACACAAAGCCCTGATGTGCCAGTGCTATAAACCTGGTACAGAGATCATGAATTGCCAGCAGATGCTTTGCCACTGTCAATGAATCCTCCTCACCCTCATCTGAGATGCAATTACATCCATGACCACAGCATCCTGAAATCCTCATTTGCCATGTAGTCTGAATTGCTGAATTAGAGGTCAGTGCATGGAAGTSAGCTGGTTTCAGCAATGACATCTCAGCAGATCACACATTCCCCGGCTGCTTCTGGCAAGCTCACACCTCAAACCGTGTCRCTGGGTTGCATCATTGCCATCCTGAGTGGTGAATGTCAGGTACAGAAAGCTGACATAGGCAAYGCATTGCCCTAAACCTCAGTGTCCTCATTACTTTGAGCATCCTCACCCCTCATTATGAAGCTGATGTCTTGCAGGTTAGATACTTGTATTCGTGCACTAATGGGTGTTCCTGCACCAAATGGTACAAAAATAATTTCTGAAAATGTCCTAAATGATCTTCACTCATAGCTGTGTGCAAGCTGGTCATTGTCACTACTTTCTTAATACTCTTCTAGATTTTTTTACTAAGCAGTGGTGTGTTTGCTGTGGTTTTGTGGCAGCATTGCTAGGCAACAGTGGGGTTATAGGCTYATTTAATCACTTGGAAAAAACAGGCAGAAATTCAATTAATGAAATATGTTCTCTTTTGATACAAAATAAAGATCCCAGCAAGAGATAATTTGTGATTTTTAAGTCAAATGTATATTCAGAGAAGGATACAGATGAAACAATTCCTTGTTGAAGAAAGCATGTGGCACCAGTGTGATAGGAATGGAAGAAGTTTGCTCTTGAAGGGAAGTGGATTTGCTATAAACAAATGCAAAAGAAAAATTCCATGACATTTCAAAAATAAGAAAAATAGAATGAGGTAGGGAGGAAAGAGTGGTTTTGCTTTGGCAGAGGAAGGGAAGGATTCGTAGCTTTTGTGCAACTAAACAGGTTTGCAACCCTTTATCTGGCTTCTCCCTGTTTCTACCATGGCCACAGCCAGTCCTCAAAGGCAGAACTAGTGTCTGCTTTTACAAACCTGTCAGCGTTTAAAAATGCAGCACTTTGAGACAGCATTTATCAAAAAGGCCAAGAAAATGCTTGAAAAGGAGAAGCACCCTGTGTGTTGTTCCCAGAGGAAATTGAAACATGCTGAATATAGAGCTACAGCATCTGTTGTTGGGAAATATGTCAGGTACTGGAACAACCTGTGAAAATCCAGGGCCCTCAAGGCCAACATAACCCAAGTTTCCAGCATGYTCAGCAAAATGCTTTTGGATTTTTTTTTTATGGGCATGACTGAGTGCAGGCATTGCCCCTATACTTTTGAGCCCAGGAACTACTTGGTTCTGAAGGTGGTTGCAACAGCCCGGGTCGTGGGTGCTGCCTCATGTGATTGATCTCAGAAATGTAAAAAAAAAAATAAAAAATCACTGCATATTGTAATAGCTTGGGTGGTGGGTGCTGCCTCATATGACTGATCTCAGAAATGTAAAGCAAAAATCACTGCCCTTGAAGGGACAAATCTGAATGTCAGATTGCTGTTGCTGTGAGTAGAAYGAATTTTAGTGTCAAAAAGTCCTCCCCAGAGATAGAAGTCCATTATAGAAAGCAAATGGAGGTAATTAGTGATCTGGCATGGGAATAGAGACTGGTTACAACTGTCTCAGATAATAT